AAAAAAATGTATTACACATAAACATTTAGGCTACAACGGCCTAACATAAACTATGGAACATAAAAGAAGATAATTTGAGAAACATCTCAGTATTGTTTGTTCTTAAAATGAAAGTCATTGGTAACCAAAACAGCTTTGTACCAACAGTCTTCAAAATACCTTCCTTTATGTTCCACAAAAGAAAGGTTTGAAACGACATGAGAGTGAGTAAATGATGACAGAATTTAAACTTTTTGTGTGAACTATCCCTTTAATGTTTTTATTATCATTATTGTTATTATTATTAATTAAATGATCCTCTAAATAAGAAACTAAATCTGCCAGGAGGTGGCGGTAAATGTCTTCAGTCGATTCGTTCAAACAGCTGATTCATTCAGTAATGAAGTAAACGGCTCTCTTTATGAATGTTTCTTTGAATCATTGGTTCACACGAAAAGAAAGGTTTGAAACGACATGAGAGTGAGTAAATGATGACAGAATTTAAACTTTTTGTGTGAACTATCCCTTTAATGTTTTTATTATCATTATTGTTATTATTATTAATTAAATGATACTCTAAATAAGAAACTAAATCTGCCAGGAGGTGGCGGTAAATGTCTTCAGTCGATTCGTTCAAACAGCTGATTCATTCAGTAATGAAGTAAACGGCTCTCTTTATGAATGTTTCTTTGAATCACACGATTCGTTCAAAACGCGGATTCATTCAGAAACTAAACACAGCTGTGTTGCTCAGAGACACGCAACAATTCTGCTGTGGCTTTAAAGGTAATATATTATTTGCAAAATTGAGCAAAAACCACTGATCTATATATAATGACTACTGCATTATAGATCTGTGGCAAAAACACAATGTAGTTTTTAAAATATAACAATATCAACTTCTTACTGAACTGTTGTATAAAATCGCATTTAAACTCGTGATATTCGGGTCAAAAACAGCACTTGTGTAATAGCCTACTGCTCTCCCTGCTCGTGTGATATCGATATTGTATGATATAAATATGAGA